TATATGAATGTATATATTTATTTATTTTAGTTTTATTGTTTAAGTAATCCCTTTTACTTTTAGTGTCCACATTTTTTCTAACATTTCTTAAACTCTCTTCTGTTGCTCTTAGACCGGAGCCCCTGATGCTGGGCGGAGATCAGACAGTGGCCATACTCTGCACCTCTGGCACGACGGGCTTGCCGAAGGCGGTTTGCATATCGAACTCCGCTTGCCTCTTCGACTTTGGGTAGGATGGATTAATAGGATTAATAACATAAATTAATCGATACTCTCCTCCATAGTTTCGTCACCGGCCAAGACGTGCTGCTGTCCTTCAGCACCATCGACTGGGCACCGGGCTTATTCAACATGCTCTACAGCTGCTGCCACGGCTCGACGCGCGTCATCACCGACCATGCCTATACGCCGGAGTACCTGCTGCAGCTGATCGAGAAGTATAAGGTGACGCTGCTGACTCTGGCGCCACAGCAGGTCGCCTCGCTGCTCAAGGCGCCCACGCTCAGCCAGCAGAGGTTGGCCAGCGTGCGCTTCATCAGCATTGGGGGCGGCAGTTGCTATGTGGCCAATCTGCTGAAGCTTCAGGAGTATCTGCTGAATGGCCAGATCTCGTATGGCTACGCGCTAACCGAATGCGGGGGTGTTGCGGCAAACATGGGCGTGGCCAAGCCCTCATCCGTGGGCAGGATAGTGCCGGGAGTCAAGGTGAAGATTCTGGACGATGCCGGCCGCAGTTTGGGCCACGGCGAAACAGGCGAGATCCTGGTGCACAATGGCAAAGTCTGGAATGGCTACTACGGCAATCCGAACGAGTCGAAGCGCATACAGGACTACCAGGGCTGGTTCCACACCGGCGACATGGGCTACTTTGACAACGAGAACTTCTTGTACATCGTCGAGCGGAAGCGCGACATGCTGCGCTTCCACGGCGCCCAATACTGTCCCTACGAGCTGGAACAGGTGATCGCCGAGCTGCCAGATGTGATCGAGGCGTGCGTCTTTGGCCTCTGGAACGAGGTCGACGGCGACCCAGCCGCAGCGGCGGTGGTCAAGGTACCTGGCAGCCGGCTCACCGAAATGGATATTGTGGAATATGTGGCCAAACGCCTGGTGGTCGATCACAAGCAGCTGCACTGTGGCGTCTTCTTTCTCAGCGAGCTGCCCAAGACGGGAAGCGGCAAGGTGCTCCGACAGCAGGCCAGAGATCAGGCACTGGGCAAACATTGGACCGACTTTCGCAATGGACACTAATTGTTATTGTATATGTATTTGTGTATATGTGGCTTATTGTGGCTGTAGGCCTTAGTATTTAGGCATTCTATTTATTAAATGACTCATACATTCCAGTATTCAATCAAAACAGTTGTTGTTGGCTGGCCTAACTGTCAGCCAGAAGTCTGGCTAAGTAAAGGCAAGCCGAAGCGAAGATACCCTTATTTACCGTTATTTACTCTATATACTCTCACATGAGTATAAATTTTATTAAATGCATAGTACATCATATACACTCTAGCCTGAATATAAAGTTGATGAAATTCATATATCATATATACTTTAACAAAACATATTTATACACTTTAACGCCATATACTTTGCAGAGTAAAATCAATTGCTGAATCGCGGCAGACGCACTAACTGGCCGAAAGTTGTTTTAGATAGTCGTTAGTATTCGTCTTCAATTTTTTTTTTTTTTTTTTTTTTTTTTTTAGGACTATGCATTTATTTTTGCCATTATCACGTGCTTATCTCGAATTGATTAGCCAACAATTGCGATATGCTGGCACCTAAATATTAAAGAGGAACTATCTTTAATATAGAACGGTTCGAATTTGCAGTAGTCAGCCACTTGTTTAGATATCAGTCTAAATAGTTGAGAGCTTTCCACTTACTGCTGTGAGAATTTTAATGGTTCTATTTGTAGAGTCGTCAGCTTGGAGCCCCATAAATAATATATAAATGACTTGTAATTCAATGAGAAAAGCCGGAGCTTTATATTGTATAATAATAATATTAATGGCAAACCATCATAAATTAGCCATATATGTTTCTTATCAACTCAGCGGAAGTATGTTTCAGCAGCCAAAATAATCTAGGACCACAAGTAGTGCTTTATCTATTTATCTATTACTTTATATAGTATTGAGGAATCTATAATAATGTTCGGATTGAATTTTTATATGCACTCTCTAAAAAAAGCCTTATCAGTTATTCCTCTTTACATAGTGAATCACATTATGGAATAATGATCTTTATATAAATGCGTAACCAAAATATCTTTATCGATCACTTATACCTCAGCCTATAGCTAACACAGACACTCCTACACACCTAGCTGATAGTTAATACTTTCGTCGCCTTCGCTCAAATGGAGTTGATCAACCGATCAGAAATCTGTCAACCCTCCATGTGACATCTAAATTCATAGTGGCATAGATTAGCCCCATTTTCAGTTCAACAACCCTTTAACCTTTCCATTTCAGTTGAGGGTTAGTCCCCCAAACGCAAACTGATCGCATGTAGCATTTGATTGACAGCTAAGCCAAGTTGCACTTTGTACGTGATCTTGTCAGCATTGCAATTGGATACATTGCCCCCTCCTCGTCGCCGCATGAATCACGATCGCCGCTTGGGTGCAAGCCCTAAAAATAAACTCAATGTTTGGATACGCCCAACAAGAGCAGCCGCTGCAGCAGCAGCAGAAGCAGAAGCAGAAAAAACAATTAAACGGGCACTTAGGCATTGAGAAATTAATTTCATTTGGGATCGCAGAGGATCATTGATAATGATCGGGAGCCCTTAGGTTGATTGACAGTTGCGAGTTATTGTTTTCAATGTCAAGTTCAAGTTCATGAAACACAATCTTTTTGGGGGGGCATTTAGATGCATTTGTCATTGATCATGCCAGCGATCATGTCGCTTTCCTGTTGCTGTTCTTGCCGTTGATGATCGTGGCATTTGCCTCGGCCGCTATCTGTTCAGGCGTATCAAATATGCAGGAAGTGCAAGGCGTAGCCAATTGCATTAGTCTCGGCACCGGGCACCGGGCACCAGGCATGGGGCAACATATCAAAGCTGCCTGGCGCCTTGGCCAGCTTTGGCTAACTTGGCAAAACCTGACTGATCTTGTTCACAGGGAAATAAAGAGAGAGAGAGAGCGAGATAGAGAGAGAGGGGGCTGTAGCACCTCTAATTGTCATGCAAATACCAATTATCATTTGTCAGTAATGCCACTTAGAATAATGTGTCTATGTATAATTAAATGCCAGCGACTGATTCTTTGATCGATCATTACCAGCCAGCTACAATCTACAATCCACAATCTACGATCTACGATCTGCAATTTACGATCAGCGATCGTCGCGATATAGATCAGAACTCATGAACTAAGCTCTCGCTGATTAATTCATTAGCAACTGTCGACCAGTTTGTCAGTTACACGCATTTGACAACAGGCCTTACTATATGAACTAGCCGTTGATCGTGCTTATAAAGAATTGTCATTATATAAAGAATTGTCAAGGCAGAAAATCTTTGTTTTTATGCCTGTCATCTATGCTACATGAAGTATTGCTTAATTAGCTCTACGATTTGCATATGTCAAAGCAAAGAACTCACCCAATGGTCAGCATATTGCCTCTCTAACAGCTCTACATGGCATAGTAAAGCCATAATTAATGTGGATTCTAATTAATTTTCTGTATGCAGATTCGATTGGAATATACCCTAGGAATATACATATGCATATATTCACATATATAAATATATATTTCAAATTCCCAAAGACTTGACTGTCACTCACAAATTTTAACCCTAAGCAAAATTATACAGATAATAATGGCATATTTTTATAAAAAACTTGTTACTCATTTAAGAACTTGTCTGGGATCCACAGCATTTCAAGCGCCTCTTCTTATTGGATTCTATGTGTATAACTATATAGATTGGCCGAAACGTGCTCGTGCATTCGAAAATCGTTTATACGGTAAGCAATAGAGTTAACTCCATAACGAAACCAACAAATCCAATCCATTGTGCTAGGCAAAACTTCCGGAGAAATCAACGACGAATTTCAGGGAAGATAAGGTCCAAAGGAGTTATAGAAACTCCAATTTGATTCTTACTGGGCGAAATAATTATCGTGTTGATGAGAGCCTGGACCTTTATGAATGTGCAACGCCAAATTCACGCAGTCAAATGCAAGTCTACGATTCTAACTTCTCTTTTTAATTGACTTTGATCTGTCCAACCGACCTTTGGGGAATATTTTAAGCAAATTTAAGCTACACGTACCACAATTATTAATAAAACAATTGCATCCTGAAAAAACAAGTTCCTGAGAGAACTTCAGGTAAAGAAGGAAGCAAATGGCTGGATATTAGCCGTTCCCTATCCACAAGATGTTTTACTTGCTAAATAAAAGTGGGTATAATATAGAAGAGTTTAGATATATTTCTTGGTAAGTCATATAGTCTAGTGTTTGGCTTCTATAGTGAGTTAACACTGTGTTTACATGCAAACTGTATACTAACTCTCGATTTCCAATCGTCAATTGTCTAATATATCTAATAAACTTAACTCTTTATATGACGAGGGTATATTCAAATATCTAATGACTAAAATTTCACATAAGTGAAAGACCATACAGCTAGACAGAAAATGAACAAAACCAATACTCTCCTCGCTTTATGAACAGTAATAATCATGGCTCACGAAAAGTCGCTAGCTAAATAAAAGTATTTAATTCGAGTTCGCAACTTAAATAAATTTACAGAAGATCTTTCAAAATACTTTACAAATATTTAAATAAAGTTGCTTACAACCAAGATCCACTTCTGCATCGCATATAGCATGCAGTATACCCCTCTGTCGCATACCCTGTTTTCGAGTTTGACACTTGCCAGCTACAAGGGAGAATGTTGAGAGCCCACAATTTATGGCGCTTAAATTGCAGTCATGCGCATGAGCTAACAAGCTCAACGTCTGAGCCGTTTGAGGAACCTACCCAAACCGAGGCGTATTAAATACCCAATCCCCTTTCCATAAATAACCCCCCTCTCGCTGCAGAAGCTAATGCGATTGCGGCTTTGGGGCGGATGTTTGGTGTCAAAACACGCAGCGCATTTTCCGTGGAATTTCAGAGCGGATCCTTGCACCTCATCAACGGCTCCAGCCTCCATCTTGGACGCTGTGTCCCCACACCGTCCGCTTCATCGAGCTGCTTAATTTATGTTAGCGACGTGTTCGCTCAGTGAAAACAAACGGATCGATCGCAAAATGGGAACGATGCATCGATCGCCGCTTGGGCTATAAAAATAGTGGCCCAATGTTTATTGTTGTTGTTGTTGCTGTTGTTGTTGTTGTCGTCGTTGTTGCTGTTGTTGCTTTTATCAATTTGTGTTCATTTCTAAGCACGAATCGAGCAGCATAGATCATAAAATGCTTTGCCCCCGGCCCATGGTCAACGTAAGGAAACAACAACAACAACTTGAAAATTTACATAATTACCGCTGGCGGTGCTTTTCATGAGAGCCGCCCGAACGTGTCAAAATGAAAAGTGTTGCATGATTAGCGCGTAAATAACACGGCCAGGGCATAAATCTCAACGTCGAGTGGTCGGACTCCCCAGCCAAGGAGCTGGCTTTGGGTAAGATAATCAAATAAATGTACCGATTAATAAAGATGAAGATGCTAGCCGAGCTCCGCAGCGTCAGGCAAAAGAGAGATGGAGAGAGAGAGGGAGGGAGAGAGAAAACAGCCGAGAGCTAGGCTAAAGAATGAATGACTATGGAGTACCCATTACCCTTTAGCTAGTCTTATTTACTGCTTCTTGCTACGCATCTTTCTCTTCTTTTATGCCGTATTTCTAATTACTTTTTCGTCTTTTATATGTAAATTATGTATATATAAACTCGTATATCAATTTTGGAGTCGACGATCAGCTTTAAATCGAATATTATCAAACCTGTTATCAAAAGAGATTTAATTATTCAATAATAATATAATAATAATATTATGAATAAAGGAAAATAAACCAGGTAAAACACTTCGTGCTATTTACACCAAAATATCTCTTCAAATTATATATCTAGGCACTCGCCAAATATACCCCATTTTTCAAACTTTAATAGTCATATTCAAAACAGAGAGAGAGAGAGAGAGAGAGAGAGAGAGAGAGAGAGACAGAGAACCTAACAACAAGATCAATGTGGCTGCTGATGTGGCCAACTGGCTGATTAGCCAACCAGCCAACCAGGCAGCCAGCTGTTTTGGTTCGGCTGGCGCCTGCAGCAACAGGAATCCGCCTGGGCGCAGCCCCGCCTCCTCCTTGGCCTGCCCCCCATTGTGGGAGGTGTG